TACTACTACTACTACTACTACTAATACTACTACTACTACATCTATCTAGTTTTCCTTTTCTCCTTATCTGCCTCCTAGATTTCAGCAATTCGCATATATAACTAGTTATTATATTTGCAGAAGACAACGAAAGATGTTTTTATAGACTACTAATTGAGTAACCAACAGAAGCAAAGAGGTAAGTTCTAGGAATAGTTCGAAATTAGAAGATGAGATGGTTGGAAGAAAATGTAGCTTCGCCTGAAGTTTCGGAGTCTCTCTGAAACACATTATGAGAGACAGCCGTGGATAAGTGTGAGGGGGCACAGGACACGGTTTTCACATAACCACAATTAGTAGCGTTCAAGTTCTTCATTGGGGTCCTGTTAAATGTAATGATTGCCCGTTTTGGAGTGTTTGGTGAAGCAGGTTACCCAAACTAGTCAAGTAAGCCCAGGCCTGACGCAGAGCAGTTCAGAATTAGCACCCGATCGTCTTATTCGGTGACGCCGGATATACTGCTCACTTATCGACTGAAACTTCCGCCTAAATATTTTCCTCCGTTCTGTAAGGAATTCAGTTTTCCCCCTTACCCGCCTTCATTTTATTGCTAAGTGGCTCAAACACATCTGTTCTGTGGTTACTTTTGAGGACCGTGAACTCCGGAACCATAGCCTATGTGTTCATCGTCATCTGTCGCTACAGCCTAAGTATTTATTCGCACGTAGATAGTCGCAGAACGATTGATCAGGTCAACTGATCAGGCTAATGACATTCGAAATGGGGACATAAATCGCAAACGAACAATCACCTCCCACGTCGAACCCGTCAGGCTGTGATGGCATTTTATGAAATACCTCAGGTTTCACATCAGTATAAGTTTAAGTCCGCTCACGGCAGGCGGAAATCAAGACAATCTCGCCGTCTAGCTGGGGCCGTACATTTGTCCCAGTCCTGTTGAACAAAGCAATCGACGCTTATTTTTTGTAAAATACGAGATAGGACGCTCGGGGTAGCCGGCACTGTTCCACCGGTAACAATCACCAACCGGAGGCTAAGTTCATCAGCTCATCTCCAGTCGGCAACAAGTTGACGTGATGTTAAACTGCCTTTCAGCGCCCACCATGCCCAAGTTTTCGTTGGATTAGATTGAATGGCCACCACCTACAAACGGGAGTGTAGCAGCCGAAGACGTTAAGGTTGGCGCACACACACAAAGGGAGTTGTTGATTATCGCAGACACACGAATAGGAAGAATTACGGCTGGTACAATAAAGGGTAGGCAACGCGTAAATGGAATAGGGCGAAAAGGTAAGGTTATACACAGTTGATCAGTTTGGAGTAAGGGTTGGCCATGGAATATCAGATACATGCCGATGGGGAGTGCAGCACTGTCGGCAACTGGGGGTGAGGGCCATGGAGGTGCTGACGGTAGGGGACTTGCGGAACGGTGCGATTTGGGTAGAGAGCGGAGCAATGTCAGCGAGTGGAAGGGAAGGAATTCCGGTCATCTGCACCGCCAAAACGATCACACTAGCATTCCATCAAGACCCACGCGAAAAGTGACCTCGGCTAGTTCAAACAACTCTGTTGGTTTGGTGGTTCGTTACAGACGTACACAATGTTGAGGCTGTACAATGACCTTGTAAATTGCTTAGCTCTTCGCCAGCCAATCAGCGCCGTCGCCGCCACACTGGGCACGTAGGGCCTTGAGGCTGTGATAGAACCCTGTAAATTTATTGGTTCTCAGCCAGTCAGCCAAACACCCAACCAGCGAGCGCCGCAAACTGTCTACATTAAATGAGCCATTCAACATGGAGTATGCTAGCCTTTGTAGGAAAGAAAGAGAGAAAAATGTGCTTTAGATTGTCTAAGTTGCGTAAATATTCCCATGGTTAATCTTAAAAGTCAGTTCATGGCAAACATGCTCGCAACAGCTGAAGCAGTAGCTATAAGGCTTGAAAATCTAGTGCG